AAAAACCAAAAAAAAAAAAAAAAAAAAAAAAAAAGAATTAACTATATTTTTAAACAAAACAATTCAAGTATATAATTGACTTACAAATACATTCACATTGTTCAAACTCTAACCAGTTGATTTTATATAAAGAAAAGTTCACCACTTATTTGTCCTTAAAGGTCAGGGGCTAGGTTCCATGTATTGGCTAGACCATTATGTACAGAGTAAGGGACTCATCAAACACCACAAGGAAACACTAATATTTGCTGATTACGTTCATTTACTTAACCATCTTGTTAGAATAGCTTTTGTGTCCCATTTTTAAAGATCAAGGGGTGGAGCCTTTTACCATCTTAAGCCTCTTTATCCGAATCAAATTATATAATCATTTATATTATATATTTGGCTCATAATTTTTATATGGTTAAGCTATCAAGGATCATTCTAATCCTTTCTGAATCATTTTTAATCATCAAAGCTCCTTTGGACAATATTTGCATCTCTTAAAAATAAAAGGTGAGGACTTAATATTACATGTGTGAACTTGAAATCACTGTTTGATTTTTAGGCTTTTCTTTTTAGCATTAGATGATGTCTTGATATTGTTTAATCAGAAAATGAATAATTCTGTCCATTGTTGAAGGTTTTGTATATAAGAAGTAAATGCACCATTAACCACAATTTTAAGCATCCAGAGAAACACAATCCTTTTTCTGAGGAGACTGTAAGTATAACATCTGCTGAACTAAATTATTTGAATTCTCAGATTCATTTTTTTCTTTAACTGTGTCATTTCTTTCAAAGCTCTTGTAGTTATTGTATATACATCTGTATAAATGTAGAATTGTCCTCTAGGACTGTCTTTTCTTTATATACATGAAATTCTTATTGAATGACAAATTAGTGTATTATTGAAATGAGTTGCTAAAATGAAAGTCTGCTTTCTTTTATTTTCTCTTTTAAGTAGCAATAAAATAGGCCATTCGTAGGCATACTATCATCTGAATTGGCTGCACTGATATACTATGTCAAATAATTTAATATGATCCAAATCAAACATTTTTAATTTAGCCATTATTCACAATATTGCTAAACTTCAAAGGCTATGGATACATTTCTTCAACTTATAAACCCCTCAGTAGAGAATTGTGAACCAAATAACGTGAGTTTTTCTGAGAATATTGCTAGTAGTTCCTTACAGAAGCTGGCTTAAGGTCAATTAAAGAAACATTCTAGTCTCAAAGAAAGAACATAATCTTTACAAATAGGTGACCTACTTTCAAATATAGGCTCAGCTGCTTTTAAGCATACTTGGGAAGTCCTCGCGGTCTTTTTCTTTTTTTCTGTTTATCTGCAAAATGCAAAAATGGTTGTTATGCGAATTAAATGAAATGACAGTGATAACCATTTTTATCTAATGTTTACTATATACCTGAAATGTTAAAAATCTCACTTCCATTATTGTAATGAATGCTCATAATAATACCAAGAATTGTTTCATTGAACATTTTTGAGCCCATCTTGCTGTTGATTTGGGTAATTTGGATACCCTTTACCTCAAACTATTGTTAAGTGTTACCACTTTAAAATGACAAATTAATGAAAGGAATAGACAGTATAAAATCATGTGTTTCTGAGAGGTTTAATTAAAACTTTCTGATCTGACTGTTAGAACATTGCTTGTTGGTCTTTGGAAAGAGTTTGTCCTTTCTCAAAAGAGTTTGTCCTTTCTTAAATTTTATTATGTAAAGATAGGTTTAGTTAAAAGCCCATTTTAAAGATACACTGTTAAATCTAATTTCTATCCTAAATAAATGGCAAAACTATTAGATGAAGTGGTCAGATTTAAATGTTAAGAGTTCCAGTCTGTCTTTACAGTAAATCAGCTACTTGCTAAATGCTCCGTATGAATTATAATAAATGATTACATGATCCTTGTGGAGATGTTAACAGCAACTGGGAAATCACCCCTTTGCAAAGAACTGCACTTGAGTGCTATGACCCAAGTCTTACGATTTCACTATATACAATTAAATCTTTTCATGTTACCTCCAGTTATTACTTATATCATACAGGAATATCTCAGTAAATAATTATTGGGTGATTTATTTCAGAAACACTAAAAATGATTTGATTTAAAGCAATACCCCTTAGCTGGGCATGGTGGCATCTGCCTGTAATCCCAGCACTCAGGAGGCTGAGGCAGGAGGATTGTTGTGAGTTTGAGACCAGTCTCAGCTACAAAGTGAGCTCAAGGCCAACCTGAACTGCATGGAGAGACCTTGTCTCAAATAAGACAAAAAAAAAAAAAAAAAAAAAAAAAGAAAAAAAGAAAAACAAAGAAAAGAAAAGAGTAATACCCGCATCATATCCCTTAAAATATTTGAGTCCAAATATTAGCTCTCCTTTGAGGCTTTTTCATAAGGTTAATATCTGAAGATTCTTGAACTTAGACAGAAGGAAATTTAGATGTCCTGAATCTAACGTCAAATGTTATCTGTACTGAGAATCAAGTGATAATTACCATCACAAGATCAGAAAGATACAGTTTTATGGCACTGTGCCTTTAAAGGGAGGAAACTCTATAAAATGAAACATTAACTGAAATGTAAGACCTTCAAAAAAAAAACCACCTAGATCTATTTTACTAATTTTGAGTGTTTTTTGTTTTGTTGTTTTTTGTTTTTGTACAGGGAGTCAAACTCAGGACCTCGCAGGCTCATTGCTGCTGAATTATATCTCTGGCTGTTTGAGTGTTTATTGAGTACTTACTTATTGTCCAAGAAAATGTTGAGGAGTTGCTCATGAACCGCAAATTGATATGCAAGGTTTATAAATTTTAAATTGGCAGGTTAATTTAAGCAGAAACATACTTAGTTTTATGAGGGATTAGATCAAGTAAGATCAGGAAATGGGATATTTTAAATCTAAAAAGTACATTCAATCACTGCCCTGTATTGCTCTTGGCCTTATTGCCCTATAATTTAAAAGTCTAACAATTTTGATGGAGTAATTATGTTCTCATTTATATAATAGTACTAATTCAGTGTACTTGAAATTATTGCTGTTGTTTAAGAAATAGGCGGCTATTTCTCACCAGTAAAATATGCAAAGATTGATTTAGAAAATCTACTGGATCTTTTTTCAAATGATTTTCCTTTTTGTTGATTTTTATTTTGTTGATAAATACTTGTGAAAAAATATATCAGGTCATCCAATACATTGCTGATTTTATAATTTTCAAGGCTACCTAAATAATTTCAATATGATAATATCTCTGTAAAAAATTAAAAGACCAATAACTTTCCTAAAAGTATGTTTGCACTTTGCTCCAACTATGGTAATATTTTTAGGAAGTGATGATAAATATTGAAACCCCATAATGAATGAATAAATAAATCATAATGATTTAACAGGAATAAATATAAGAAAATGGCTATTATAAGTAATATTTTAGGAAAACATTATAAAAGATAAAAATACATGTTTTACTGAGGTTGAATTTAGAGGCATTATATAGATCAAACATCCATACAACTTTCACTCTCTTTTTGGGCTCTCAAAGTAAATCGGTAAAAGTTTTAAAAATAAAGCATAAGAAGAACATTTTGCCCAATAGCTGGAAGTTTTCTTTTGAATTCAGTTTCCTTCAATAAGACTTAAACATAAAGTAGGAAATGTTCTTAAATAATACAAATCAAGGAGTGAAAATGTGTTGAACATTCAGATGAATCTGCCAGCATCCTCACATTACACTTGGTTGTCCAGCGGAATCTAATCAAACCCAAACATTTCTCTACTGTGAGTGCAGGCAAAATCGTCATGTGAGTATTAGGAAAGTGTAATGGATTAACCGTGCCACTGGTTATTCTTTTGTTTCAGGTAGATCCAAAATGTGGTTGCTCTTAACAGTGACAAGTTTAATATCTGCACTTGGAACTACACATGGTTTCTTGGGACAGGTACCTGAGAGTCCTGAAGTGCATATGAATATTGTAAGTTACTGGGGGTAGGAGGAAAAAAACCTGTAAAAATAACATAGCAGTTTTAAACTTTTAAATAGTCAATTAAAAAAATCTATTCATTAGATGCATTTAAAAGTCAAACATAAACCCCTGGGTTTTCCTCATCAGAGTCAAATGATTTCCTACTGGGGATACCCAAGCGAAGAATATGATGTTGTGACTGAGGATGGTTATATCCTTGGAATCTACAGAATTCCTTACGGGAAGAAAAATTCAGAGAATAGAGGTATAAGCTTCCCTTCCTTTTTTCCCTTCCCCTTTCTTTCTTTTCTCTCCCCCTCCATTCTTCTCTCCTTCCTCCATCCTTCCCTATGCTTCTTTTCCAATTTTTTGTCTTCTTTCATTTCTGTTGAGTGATTTAATGCTAGCTTATTCTGGAAATGCAGCAACAACTAAGGCATAAGGAGATCACCATTAAACCAGTGATGCAGATAAAGAAACTACTGGCTGTTTGCTGTCCACACATTACTAACCTGAAAGTCCTGAGGATGGCACCCAACCCAGCTACAGGGTGTCAGGAAAGTTGCTCTTAGACATAGTAACTGAGCGAGTCCTAAGGATCAGGAAGAGTGCAGCCAGGATGTGGAGTACAGCCCCTGTGCTGAAGGGTCATTTCCATTAGTTTTATTAAAATTTATCTTTTTCTCATTGTATAAGATTATGACATGCAAAAAGAATAAAATGTTACTGCCCATTGCCACCTAAATTAGCATAGTATTGAACTTCCAGAGACTATAATTTTAATAGCTTTTGTGAGGTATAATTGAGATATAATAAACTCAGTTTACACACTTGAAGTACATACTTCAAGTGTGTAAATTGATAAAATTTAGTATCTTAGAAACAGTGTGAGATAAGACAATTCAGATAAGATGTTCAAATATGTTCACCTCACTAAATGTGTTGCATTCTATTGACATGTTGGTCTTAACGTAAATAACGCATCTATAAAGTTTTCATCAATTTTCTCTTCTAGGCCAGAGACCGGTGGCCTTTTTGCAGCATGGTTTGCTCGCATCAGCCACAAACTGGATTGCAAACCTGCCCAACAACAGCCTGGCCTTCATCCTGGCAGATGCCGGTTTTGATGTGTGGCTGGGGAACAGCAGGGGAAACACCTGGTCCAGGAGAAATTTGTACTACTCACCAGACTCAGTTGAATTCTGGGCTTTCAGGTAAAGAAAAGAGACAATAAAAATGAGCAATTGAAAATAAACTTTGGGCCCTGAAAGCATGCATATTTCTCATACCTAATCTAGTCTCATTTCAACAAATTACACTTCAAGTAGGAGGAGAAGGAAATTTTTCATTCTGATTCTTCTTGGATTCTTTTGTATACCTCGTTCTGAAGGTAGCTTTTTCTTCGAACTTTCCATGACCTTGATACCACTGTGAGGGGGTCTTGAACATGCTTTCCACATGGGAGGAGAAATATATCTGAAGCAAAGATTTTTATCTGAAAGGAAGGATCCTGGCAAATTCCAAAACAAGCATCCTTGTGGGCTCGAGAGGGTGTTAAACCCAGTTGGGAATGGGAGAACAACAACCTGCATCATCATCAAAGAACAAAGTTCAGGCATCATGGAGAGATGATCAAAGGTTTTCCTATCGTGGGACTGCTTGTGCCTTATCCCTGGATATTACTGCTGGAGACAGAGCACATAAGAAAATTCAGCAGATGATGCTGGGCACAAAAGTTCTAGGAGTTGGCAGGAAGTCGCGGTGCCTGCTGCAGTGAGGAAGAGGGACAGTGACCGGAGAGGTGACTGGGGAGCTGTTATCAGGCAGTGCAACGAGAAGCCACTGAAAAGGTTTAAACTAGAGAGTTTTCATTTTCAAAATGCATTTTGACTGATTTGTGAGGAATAAAATAGAGAGGGGTAGGATTCACAGTAAATAGCATTGGAACACAGCAAGCAAATGCTTTTTAAATCTGACATTCCATTTCAAGGATGGAAATAATTCCCAACTACAGGAACTATCTTGTTTGAATTAGATTGCAGTCACAATTCCAAGCTTCAGACATGATGGCGGTTTACAAGAAGCCACCCGAAAGGGCATCTGACATTCACTAATGGCTTATAAGCAGGAATGCTTACAGAATCTACTTTTCTAATTCTCACATAGAAATAGTCTTATCTATAAACATGCACACATTTTAGAAACTTTAGTAAAAATATACTCCATTTTTATTTTTTTTTTTCTTGTAGCTTTGATGAAATGGCTAAATATGATCTTCCAGCCACAATCGACTTCATTGTAGAGAAAACTGGACAGGAGAAGATTCACTATGTTGGTCATTCTCAGGGCACCACCATTGGTAAGTAAAGGCATTGAGACTAGGTAGATCAGTTCTTATAGATCCCTTTCCAGTGGTGATGGAATATAATTACATTAACTGTTCTCCATTTATTATAAAATTTAATGCCTATGACAACCCAGTGATACAGGAACAACTACTATTCCAATTGTATAGATGTGTAAACAAAGCGTAGAGATAAATGATTCGTCCAAGGTAATGTGAGGTATTAATGAGATCAACAGATACCAGCTCAGAAAATCTGACTCTCAAGTCAGCATCTTATAGCCTCTAGATTGAATTTATGTTATGTATTAAACAAATTTATGGAGAATATTAGACCTATCACATGTCTAAAGAATACAGTAATAAAATAGATTAAAATCTCTACCTTCATACTATTTATACCTTACTTAGGGAGAAGTCTGGGAAATGACAAAAATTGCAAAGTAAAATATGAACTAAAAATGGTAATGATATAGAAAAAAATAAACTGGGAAGGATATTAGTGAGCATCAAAGAGGTTCAAAGCAATTTTATTTTTTTAATGTGTTAGTATTTTATTTTCATTTTAAAGAGAGTAATAAATGAGAAACAAAGAAAGAAATAGAACAGTAGCAGTATACCAGTATCACAAACATAAACAAATCAAAGCAAGATCATTCAAAGTGATACAGAGTCTCAAGACAAAATAATACAAATCAACAGTGGTTGTTACATTACATATCGCTATCCTCCACTACATTGCACCGATAACCAGATGTAAGAATGTATTATCTCTACTGTTTTATCTAAGAATTATTTTCTTATTCCCTATAGTGGTTTAAGCAAAGCAATTTCAAATAGGGAGCACAAACAAAGATCTTCTGGATAAAGACATGGATGAGGTCAGAGAGCAAGTCATGTGTGCACCTGGCAGACTCATGTTCCAGGCAGACACAACTACATATTCAAATGATCAAGAGCTGGAGCGTACCCAATATGTTCAAGGAACTACAGTGAGCTACTTCTTGTGTGAATAAATCAGACTGGGAGAGGCAGATAGGAGGAGCAAATGAGATGAAATTACGAGGGCTGGGGAGGACAAACTCTTCAGGGCACTTTGGGTGTTGTAAGCAGATCAGTTTTTATGCAGAGAAGATAAAGGAAACTGTGGGAGAAGTCTGAATTTGAATAGAGGTGTTTCATGATCCATAATGGGGTCCCTTCAGCTGATGATGGGAAACAAGGATAGGAACAGAGAACTAGTTAGAGGACTCCTTCAATAATTCATGCTGGAGATTATGAGGACCTGGGATTAGGAGGTGATGGTAGCGGTGAAAATAATGATGTACAGTTAGGGTAAATATGTATCTTTTAGATATGTTTTGGAGATGGAACCAATAGGACTTTCTGACATACTGACTAAAAAGTGTAAGGAAGAAAGATAACTCGAAGAAAATGTCAAGGTTTGTGACCTGAGCAACAGGGTGTGTGGGATAAAGGAAAAGCCCCTAGCCAAGATGGGTAAGGCTAGGAGATGAGCTGCTATGTGAGGGGGAACAGGAGCTCAATTTTGAAACACTGTAAAGTGCTTATTAGAGACTAACATAGTGTTAAGCTGTCAGTTCTATGCACACATCTGGAGTCCAGGGAGAAGATGGAAGTAAAAATAAAAAACAAGTGTCTTCAGTACATGAAGCAGAATGTAATAACCAAAGGAGTGGATTTGATGAGGAAAAAGAATCCTGGGCTACACTTTAATTTAGAAGAGAAGGAGTCAGGAAAAGAAATTAGGAAATAGTAATAATAATGATGATGATGTAGTACAAGGAAAGCCATAAGTATCTGTTGTTCTGAAAGCCAAGGGGAAAAGTGCTTGAAGAAGGAAAATATGGTCATTCATGGAAAGGGTACTGAGAAATCAAGTGAAATAAAGTCTGAGAGGTTATCACTGGATTTAGCATCTTACAAGTAATAGGGGATTTCTGTGAGAGCAGCTGAAGGAGAAGTTGGCGTGGAAGCATAATGAAGTGAGGTCAAGAGATCACGAGAGGTGTTGTAAAGGGAAGAAATAAGGTGGAAGCAGGAGGGGAAATGGGAAGTTGCATGAGAGAGACCTTAGGGTGCTTTGCCTGCTGATCGCCTCTCCTACCTGATGCCCCTTCTTCCTACCACAATTCCAAGTTATTGGAACATCTGCAAAGGGATACACACACAGGAAAGTAGGTGAAAGTCATGGTTGAAACTTGTAAAAATTTAGCCTCCACATGTGTGTTCATCCCCACATAATGATTTCAACTGTAGAATTTTAGACTCATAAGAACAGTGTGGTATAACAGGTAAGGTTGCCAAGAAGATGGGGGTAGACTATCAGATTTCCACGGAGAAACTCTTTTAGAGGAAAGAAAAAAAGCAGGAATAGCTAGAAGGAAAAGTTGAGCTCTGAAATAATCCCAGAAAGGCCTCACTTGGCCCTGTGCAGTATGTCTTATCAGAGTCTTCCCTAGTGGGGCCAGTGGGCCTGGCCTTTTTTGCTGCTTCTTGAGCAGTTGTTAGATGCAGGCTGCCCTGGAAGTGTGCATATAAGCTTGGGGAAACAGATCTCTTCAGCAGAAGCAAAAGCAGAGAGGGCTCACAGCAAGTGTCAGTCGAACTCTTCCCCACCGTGAGGATTGAAGGGAGCCTCTGACTCAGAAGGCAGCCCGGGCAGGAAAGCATCGATGATAATGGTCAACATCAACGCAAAGTCCTTTGTTAAAAGTAGGAAGTTTTTTCAGTGATGAAAATTTACTTTATTTTCCAAAACAGTAAAAAAAGTAACTGTTTTTGGATGGAAATCTACATTAACCTATAACATAAGGCTTTGATTCTTTTAATGGTGCATATAGAACGCAGTGTATTGCAGTGTACTGACTTTTCTTGAGTATGTAGATTGAGTACGTAGGGGTATTGAATTACTGAGATGCAATCTGACTTCCCTTGGGCTTTATTGAAGTGAATAGAATTATTTGATACCAAATAATTCCAAACTACTACTTTTTGAGTTACTTTACTTTTGAATGTTTCCATTCTTCTTTTTTCACTACTATTCATTATAAAATTATGATCACCATGCTCATAAATATCCAAGCAAGAAATGCCAATTTCACAGCTTGTCTCAGATATCACCTTAGTAAGTGCAAGATAACAGCACACTTGTTTTAAAAAAGCACACATACATGCCTCCCGTTTTCACTCCTTCCTTTTCCTCTTTCAGGTTTTATTGCTTTCTCTACCAATCCTGAATTGGCTAAAAAGATCAGAACCTTTTATGCTTTAGCTCCAGTGGCAACTGTGAAGTACACAACAAGCCTTTTAAAAGAGCTTTCGTATGTCCCTACATTTCTCTTCAAGGTATGTGATTCTTTTTAGTTCATTGAATCTAAAATACACGATTACCCATGGATTTCAAAGTGATGGAAAGGGAACAAAAATATCTGTTGGACAAACGTGTTTATACACCAAAATGGAGCTGTAGTTGCTTATATTACATCTTGTTGCACTGATCATATTTGAATGCCCTCTACAGTCTGCGAGATGCCATTCACTCCTTACTCTTGCTCATTTCTCTACAATTTATGTGAGTCACCAATGCTCTTTATGTGGGAAACCAATCAAATGTTTCTGCTTTTTCACACACATTTCCCTTACCAAGCACTCTACATAGATGTATCAAGGTTGTGATTGCACCCTGGTAGCAAGGAATGGGGAACAAAAGGCAAATCAAAATAGTGAAAGAAGCATAACCTACCATGGCCTTGAAAACTGGGGAAAGGAAATAAGGAAAGGAAAGGAAAAGAAAAGGCAAAACAGAGAAAAGGAATCAATGATGGAGTGAGAATACTTTGAGACCTCCTAGTTAGATAACTCCTGGCTTTCCTAAGAACTCTTTCCCTAAGAGTTTCTTCATCTTTAAATGGAGATTTCATAGCAGTAGTTTAGAGTTCAGAAAAATAATAAATATTAAATGCTTTATTGTGTAGGCATGCATGGTAGCTAATTAATAATCTTTAGTTTTTCAAGGCTTAGTATCCTACTTCTCCCACCACTGAAGCCAACACACACACACACACACACACACACACACAGATTCCTTTACGAGGTTTCACCTCAGAATACAAAATATAATAAGATTTTCCTTCTATGGTTTTGTACTATTCATTTATTTTTGCTTTGTATTATTAACATGTATATCTAAAGCTGAGGAGACTTTTTACCTGTGTCAAACTTCATTTGTAAACCTTTTGTTTGAAATCTAAATTGCTGTGATAATGGTGATTTTACTTACTGTTTCATTGACCTAGAACTTTCTTCCTACTTGTACTTAGACTATCTGACACTAAAACAGGAAATGATTTTTTTAAAAAGTTTGGGCCAGGATTCTAGGTATTGTATAGTTCTAATCAACACAAGATGCTATTTATTAAGTTCATGTTTCTTCACATATAAAAATGAAAAAAAAAAGGGGGGGCTGAGGATTTAGCTCAGCAGCACAGCGCCTACCTGGCACTCATGAGGTCATGAGTTCGATTCCCGGTACTGGAAAAAAAAAAAAAAAGCCTGCTGTCCCGCAAAATAATGAGGACAAATGTCTAAAGGTTTTGCTGAAAATATGACTCAGAGTCATTCTTCCCCCTCCCAGTATTGCCACAGTTTACTGCTGAGCTTGCACATCTTGGCATGAAATTATGACAGTGTGCCATGTTGCTCTTTGATTTTTTACTCCACAACTTTTATCACTCCAAACAGATTGCAACTTGCTGTGTCTTTTCTTCCTCTCAGTAGCCAGTATAGTTCTCAGTGTAACAGTAGACACCCAGTACTGATATCCAACTATCCATTTCCCAATTTCATTGTGGAAATGAAATAGAAAAAGTACAGGAAGTTCTCAAAAAAACGTACAGAAATAAGAAAATATCATCTGCTGAAAGACACCTGCTAAGTAGATTAGATAACTGAGTCTTTTTTGCAGCTTGATTGCTGCAATGCTCTAATGATTCTTTTATTTTTCAGCTTATATTTGGTGAAAAGATGTTTATGCCACACAATTTCTTTGATCAATTTCTTGCCACTGAGGTGTGCTCCCGTGAGACGGTGAATCTTCTTTGCAGCAATGCCTTATTCATCATGTGTGGATTTGACAGTAAAAACTTCAACACGGTTTGTAAACACTGCAGTTTCTATTCTGAATCTTTTGATAAACATGCTTGATTATTTTTCTATCATCACTTTGAAATGGCATTTCATAAGAATGAGAAGTATTTCTCAAATGACTAATGCTGTTGAACATTTTTTCATGTGTTTATTTGTTACTCATATTTCTTTGTCAGAGAAGTGTGTATTCATCTCAGATGGCCATTTTTGGATTGGGTCTTTGAATTTTGGGGGCCTGATTTTTAAAAATTTTTTATATGTTCTAGATAGGAGTCCTTTGTCTGAGGGACAGTTGGCTAAATTATTTTCCCAATTCATTGGGTTTTCTTGTCACCCTGTTGGTGATTTCCTTTAATGTGCTAAAACTTTTCAATATGAATGAGATCCCATTTGTTGATTCTTTGAAGTATTTCCCGTGCAGTTTGGTTTTTGTTCATGAACTCTTTGCCTACCCCTATGTCTTCAAGACTTCCACTTACTGTCTGTAGAGTAAATAAAATCTGAAGGGTACAATAGGTATTGTGAAAGGGAAAGAAACTGCTCAATTACGAAGGAGCAACTGGGATGAAGGGGAGGAGAGGAAAAAGAAAGAGAAAAAAGGAATTAGAAATACCTTCAGAGTTGTGTTCACGGTGCCCTGGCAGACCCAAGAGTAATCACAAGTTAGTATTCCCAATTTCATCACCTGAATGGCTCAAGTAAATAACTACCCTCCAGGAGAATAAAGCTCAGTACTCACTCATCAACTGCACAATTGATGTGGCATTTAAATTCTGTGATGGAAGGCATAAAACCACATAATTGAGCTGGTGTCTCTACAGGAATGAAATTCAAGCATTGAAGAACTCTCATAAGTATTTTTAATGCTTCTACTCATTCTCATACATTTTATAAAATATATTTTAGAACAACTATCTATGTAACACTTTACCCATATTCTTGATCTGCATTTCCACTTGCTTTGCATTGATTGAGAAAGTGCAGTACGATAAAGTAATTAAGTATATGAACTTGGGTCAGCCTAAATTCAAATCCTACCTTTGGAATTGACTTAATTTCCTTTGTCGTGGTTTCTTCGTCCACAAAATGTGTTGCTGTGAAGCTCTAATTAGCAAATATATGTGAGACATATAGAATATAGTACAAAGGATGTAGTAATATACAGAAACCCCTGCAGAGGGTTCAGTCTTCCAGCCGGCAGTGTGGCACAGGGATGAAAAAAGACAGGAAAAAATCTGCAGTTGAAGGGGTTCTGGGAGGACCAGTTACTCTCAGAGGAACAAATGGCCAAGTCAGAGGGCTCACAGCTTTTATGGGTACTAATCAGGGAGTGGGCAGGGGTCATGGCAAAGTGCATGGGAGAGAAACTTTGCAGGCATGGAGTGTAAAGGAGAAGCAGCACTCTTGCACCAGGCACAGAGGCCCTCCAATCAATGTGCAACAGATAACTTGATGTATGCAAGATTGGCATCCTTACTTCCAGGAAGGTATAATTCTTTTTGAGTCTCATGGCTTCAGCTGAGATGGTATCTCATGTCTTAGCCTTAGAATCTCACACACATGCTGCAATGAAACATGTTGGCATCTCGGCAGGACATGATCACATGTTCTAGCCAATTAAGGCAACATATGGTTCAATATAGTCAGCTCTGCATATCTCAGTAAATAAGGTTGAAGTAAAAATCAGGTAAAGATGGAGGCAAAGGCTCATTTCTCAGGGGAATGCAGTTTGGTGGTTCCCCTACAGTAATCTCATATAACTTTTGTGCCAGTATACATAGACAACTACCTTAATCAAAATTGTCAGTTTAGTTTATACCTTTAAACACCTATGAAAATCAAGTTTATTGATAATTATATAAAAGTGTCACAACCATTTGAAACACAGTGATTTAAAAGTCAGATATGACTCTTGGTTTCATAGAACTCAAGGAGATTTAGTTGTCTTTCTCTATAATAGTGATTATCATCTATAGAGAAATTGTTTTTTGATTCTTACTTAGGATGTGAATCCTCCTCCTTCCTCTCTTAAGGAAGAGTCCTCCTTGATGATTTGGGGATGTTTGTCATTCCATATGTGGAGTGAATGGAACAGCCCATCCTTATCATGTTGGGAAAAGTCAGTATTAAATTACTGTATTCCATCAACAACAATTTTATGAAAAAAGATAGCAAAATAGAAATGTAAGGAACAAAGAAAATTAGAGATTTAGTCTTCTGCATGATACTCATGTAGAAAGTCTCCTACAAAGGCAGTTAATCATTTGAGTTTGCCCACACAGTAAGACCCAATTTGAATCGACCTATGCAATGTGAGAAGGGGACTTTGGGGGTCTGAGCAACGTGGATGGGTTAGAGTCCCAACAGAGCATCATAACTGAGATACATACACATATAATGACATATTGTATATATGATAGAGTATAAATAAAAGATATATATACACAATATATATCATATGCCACATCACATATATATTAATGTTCTACAAACCAGAGTCCTGTGTGTGAATGTTTAATTACTGTTTTATAATTATTTAATTTACTGCATTCTGGCCCTTGGTAGAGGAGAATAAAAAGCTGAGAATTTAGATTCATGATTCTAGATTAAATTCTCTGGCTTCACACTCTGTATGAAACTGGATATTTCTCTAAACTTCCTTGAACCTCAGTTTCCTTTTGATGAGATGGAGAAAATAAACTGTCTTCATGGAGTGCCCACAAATTAAATGAGTTGGAACATGCAATGCATTTTTCAAATTCTAAAGTGACAAAAACTCTGTTGCTCATATCCTTCTGTTAAAAGTTGCCTGGAAACGCTTTACCAAAATCAAACAATTTAGATCTTAACTGTTTTCCTTAAACCAAAAGTGTGTCTAAGTATTCATGTGTATGTTTGTATGTTTGATTCTAGAGTCGCTTGGATGTGTACTTATCGCATAATCCAGCAGGAACTTCTGTTCAAGACATTCTCCACTGGGCCCAGGTACCGTTGTTCCAATGCTGTTAAAACTTATTCTGTGGGCCCGAACACTTGAGCTTTACTTAAAGCACATTCTTAAAACATTCTGTCAAATGCTTCTGCCATATGATTATCATATGAAAATAGCTATGCATCCACATGAATGAAAGTTTATGAAAACAGCGGCTTTGGATCACAAAGAATGATATTTATGACTTGGCACAATGTGAGAAAAATTATTTCATGCAAAGTTGCATTTAAACTTGCATACATATCTTGTCCTACATGATTAATAATTGTTACTTTGAATGAGAAAACTGATTTTAAATAATTGTTTAAATTGAAGATAAACTGCTTAGAGATTCATGAATTTTATTTTTCACATAGTAAGAATACTTTTTATTTCTGTGTTGTTAATTTTTCTGCATTAGGCTGGTAGGTCTGGAAAATTTCAAGCTTTTGACTGGGGAAGCCCATATCTGAACATGTTACACTTCAATCAGGTAAGCTTCTTAGAACTGAAATTATTCACATTTTGAAAGGCAAAGCAATAAAAGGTTAAACAAGAAATTATGCCATCTGTATATGTACTTTTTGAGGAAATGTTGATGTCCAGTCTCTTACTGTGTAGCTGTGCTCCAGTGGTGTGCTCCTTCCACCTGTTCTTAAACTAGCACAACAGCACATGGGAAAGACTTGCCGAGGCTCAGCTCCACCCATTGTGATTGCACAGACCTGCCATTTAACCCTGTCCTCCAGCATGCTGCTCTCCACTTTTTGATGGACAATCAACTGATATAATAAGCTAACAGTTGCAACTACCCATGGTAGAACCAGAATCTCTAGTCTTTTCAAACTCCTTGTTGATGGTAAAAGGAGTAATTTCATAAGAACATATTCCCATACAAAAGAGAAAGAAGGCATGCTTGAAGGTCAAGGCTGGAAATGTTTTTCGGAAGGCATGGGTCTGTGGATCAGGCAACCACACTGAACAGTCTTCTTACTTGTAGTTCAAAGGACCCAGCTTAGGAGCTCATCTGATTGGTGGTGAATCATATGTGTCGGGCAATAATATCTGCATCTCTCTATACAGACTCAAAGAGTTATTGACATGATTTAATGAGAAATGTACCTTTAGCTCAAGGTAAACCCTCATGTTATTCTGACTAACTTGGAACAAGGGAAGTATTCTACATTGCTTTGTAACCCTTTCTTCTCACAGCTTTTCTATACAAGTACTAGCTAAAGGACTCAACTATATTTTCATCTATTTCTATGGCTTAAAATTTAGGAGGCATTTGTATGTTCTTGTAACAACATTCTATGTGTAGAGACGATATCTGCTTTATTTCATGTCCTATGTCTTTCATAAAGTTTTCAGAATCCCATCAGATCAAACTTCTGTTGAAATCTCTTTTTCCTCAACCATTACCTTCTCATAGCTCCAAAGCTCAGTTGCTTTGAACAATCTTATTACTGGACTCTAGCGCTGATAATTACATGACTTCACCTTAGAGGGCCGAGTGAGATCTGGAATAGTCTTTCCCCAAGTCCATCTTCCTTCTGACCAAGTCAATAACAAGTCTTGAGGGCCTTGAACTAACTGAAGCAGTGATAGTAATTTAAGAGCCAGAGTTAGTACCTGCGAAACTCATTGAACAATGGGATACTAGCAAAAGAAGGTGGGCTTGTAATGATAGATTTTATCCAAAATATTTTCTCTAATAAATGAAGCAATATAATAGAAAACGTTAAAAGTACCAGGAATAATTACACATGATAAACTGTTTTCTATGGCATGTTGGCTATTTGGTAAGCGAGACTAGGGAAATATTTAACATTGGATTAGTGTCCCAAAGTGTGATATAAAAAATCTAACAAAATTGTCTCTCCATGGTGGGAAAACTGCAGGTGATTCTTTTGTTCCCTTTCCTGCTTTATGGTTCTCCTTAAAATCTATGTGTTAATGATGATTTTCTAGAAATATAAAATGGAGCTGAAGGTAACTTTTCTCAGAATTTAATGCAGTATATAGTAAAATCAGGTAAAGATTAAATAAATACAACTCTTTAAATCAATAGACCTTTCTAGTGGTCATAAGGTGGAGTCAACAGAAAGCTAAAAGAAATTACTCAGAACATTTTTAGGAGATTTTACCTCAGAGAGCTGGAAATGATTATACTTCAGAGTAGTGGAAACAATTACCAACATTAGAAGCTCATCAAGTCTTTTTCCTTCAGCTTAAGTTGAAACCTGAGCTTTAAATTTACAAGAGTCATTGTCCAAAGCCTTGCAATGCAGGTCATGGCTCAGGACCAACAGCACCAGCATCCCGATGGATGCAGCGTCCTTCCAGGTCTTCCCCTCCTTACTGAATCAGTCTTCGTCTCAACAAGATTCCCAGGTGCTCACAGGTCCATTAGACTGAGAAGCACAAATCCAAAACACACTGTGTCTAAATTTCTCTGCAGATAAAGGTGACTTTCTCAGAGCAGTCATTGTTAGAATTTACTAGCAGGCTAAATTAACCAATATTACACAATCTCCCCAAAGAATAGGTATTGGGTTTAAAGTGCGGTTACCTGAACTGCGGCTGTTTCTCTTGTGTGTTTTAGAGCACGCCTCCCTACTACGATGTGACAGCCATGACAGTGCCCATTGCAGTGTGGAACGGTGGCAACGACCTGTTGGCTGATCCCCGGGATGTGGATGACTTGCTTCCAAAACTCTCCAATCTCATCTACCACAAGGAGATTCTTCCTTACAATCACCTGGACTTTATCTGGGCAATGAATGCCCCTCAAGAAGTTTATAATGAAATTGTTTCTATGATGTCAGAAGATACAGATTAGCTCTGGATGTGAAGAATTATCCACTTAGTTTTCCAAAATGCTTTCTGCTCTTATATGTCGCATTCTGAAATGCTTAAAATTCAGTGCCTCTTCCTGTAATGTTGACTTTAGAAATATATTGGCATCAACAAACTTTCCATTTGCCATCTTGAATTTTTTTAATTTAAAGAAATTTAATTTTCATTTAGAAATTTATCTAGAAATTCCCAAGAGGAGACATTCCCAGGAATGTGAAACTTCCCCTCCAATCTTCTCATTCAGTTTCTGTTCTCAGCTCAGAGTAGGGGCCATGAACTGTGAATGCTCCCAAAAGACAGCCTTGGTGTTGAGTATTGACTCCTTTCTGTGCTCTTGATACTGAGTTTACTGCTTCTAATTGTCACTGACAGTTGCTTTGTTAATGAAGTTCAGCCTTTCCAACTGTGCAGTGGGGATATCACTTGCTCTTTTCCAGCTTAGCCTCATGAGAAGGCCCACAGGGAAATAAACCAAATTGAGGTCAGCTCACTTTCTCCTCTCCGACAGGGGAGGGGAAGGGCAACTTGTGAAGCGACAGCAAGCCCAAGCTTGGTTGAGAAAGTTGAGAGGTAAACAGTACGCTGTATTATGACTACTATCATCATACCCTCATTTTTTTGAACTTCAGCCACAAAGCAGCCACCAACAAACTAAGCTATCTTGAAGTCACTGCCACTGCCCTGTCAACCACAACATCCCAACATTCTTAATGACACACAGAAACATAAAGTACGACTCCCACCCTTTGGTGCAAGGAAAAAAAAAAAGCCTCAAACTTCCAAAGTTGCCAGACAGCACAGGTTTATCCAAAAGATTTTATTAGCACACTCAAATTGTGACCTCATATTTTTAGCAGTTAAGCTTTTTTGTTTCCACTTGTCATGCTGTGGTTGATTTGATCTATGAAATATAAATTGGATACAGAATATATCATACCTAGCACCATTCATAAAGTATAGAAAGTATAAATATTTGTTAATTTTTGTTATATTGTCATACTCCTCAGTCTTTATTAGGAAACCTAAAGCTTTATTATTTGTTCTAAATTCCCTCCTTTATTTTTAAAATGGAAATGAAAAATTGCTGAGAAAAAGATCATTCAGAAGACTTTATTTCAATATATTAAGGAACATTATTGGCAGCCTTTGCTAACCTAAGAGTCTAAGGGAATAGTGACAAATATTCATGGTGATATAAACAATACAGGACCCAGGAGATTCGTGTAGTCCACCTTCCTGAGTAAAAAACAATCATTACATTCTTATAATCTCCACCTTCTTGAGGAAAGGACAATCATTATATTCTTATAATCTCCCTTTCCAGCTAAATGCCTTTCTTTTAGCTTGTTTTCAGAAAATATGGGACATTTTGGCTTTGGTCTTTGAACACAAGTTTCTGTTTTCTTTGCTCCCACAGCAGCTTTCCTAATATTTCTCATTTGTTAATCTGAACTGTCAATGGATTGGCTAGTATTCAAGAGTTTTTCCACTCACTTCCTGTAATCATCCTTTCAATAGCATCTCATCACGTGAAGCTAAATAATTCCAAATCCAAATTCACCATCCCCACTTCCCTGAACCAAAAAGTGTTGAGCGTATGAATTTCTTCATCACTAGGGAATCAGACTTTTGGTACACTGCCTCTTCTTTTTAGTGCATAAAAATTTAAACATCTAGCTAGCTAGCTAGCTATCATCTATCTGCCTAAAAATACATGTATAGAAAAAAAGAGGAGAATGACAGAGAGACAGAGACAGCAAGATAGAATAGTTTAATGAACTCCTTGGTATTCATTACTCTGTTTCATCTATTACCAATACATAGCCAAATCTTTTTTCAGTTGTACCTCTAGCCACTTCTATTTTCCCATATTAATTTGAAGCAATTCTCAGACATCACATAGTTCATCCATGAGTATTTCAGAATGGATTTTTAAAACATAAGTTCTCTTGTTGTTAACATAACATCATTACCATTTCCCAAACTTTAATAGTAAATATTCACTCAGCGCTTAAGTGTAATTGTCTCATATATCTCAAAATGTTTAAATCAGAACCTATTTAAGCTCTATTATACCCTTTACTGATATGTCTCTTATTTCTTTAGATCTATGTGTTCATCTTTCCTTTCTCTCTTCTTTTTCCTCCTGAATTTGTTGCTATTGTCAAAGAAACTGTCTTTCTTGTGATTTCACACCATTGAGAATTTGCTCACTGTGTTCCAGTAGCACCACTTAGCATCCCCCTCTATCCTTCATATATCTTGAAATTCAGAGCTTCTTAATCTCGGCACTTTGACATCTGGGGTCAGATAGTCTTTTACTATGTATCTGTCCCGGGTACAGCGTGAGTAGCAGCATCTCTCGCCCCTACCTACCAGATGCCAGTAGTGCTCACACAATTTCAGCTGTAACTATGTCCCCCAACACTGTCAAATACTCAGTTGGGAGCAAAACTGCCCTCCCTTCCCAGCTGAGGACCATTCCTGTAAATTATAACCTTGATCGGATTAAGCTTTTTAAAAAATTATCTTTCACAGTCCACATTGTGTTCTTCCATAGTGGGACACATAGGCTTAATTTGTCTTTTTTTGGTGGTCAGAGGTCATTGCTTTTCAATACCCAGATCCAATAGTTCATCAGGGCTTAGAAAGCATTGACAGTGTAGTGAGATATTTAATATTGCATATTTCAAAAGTGCTGAGAGATTAAATTTCAAATGTTTTCACCAAAAAATGTTCAGTATTTGATATGATAGCTGTGTTAAGTAGTTTGATTTAATTATTCCATATTGTATTCCTCCCCCTGCTCTGACTTTGAAGTAAGGAGATAAAGAGTCATGCAACTTTCAGTAAGTGTTTCTGAATCACACCTCTTCACCTAGGAATCCACCTGCTAGTCCAAGTGCTTTTTTCTTCCTGCACAAGGCTAATGTGAATAGCTTTGTTATACTGCCAAATTAAATATTTCTAGAGTTATCTAAGGGAGGAAATGCGGGGGTGAGGGGTGCTGTGAATTTTATGAAACTTTCTTGGGGTGATACCGAGTATTCAATTTCCTAAGACTCACAAAGACAAACTTCAGCTATTATCAGCTTCAGTTTATCCAGAGGCAAAGAAAGGAGTAGTTGAAATAATAAAGAAAGGTTACTTCTAATATTAACTTAACAGTCCCAACAATGACCTCATATCTACTGTTGATATGAATGGCATTCTATTTTATAGCTACAAAGTACATTGATAGCACAAATGTCAGGCATCATGTCAACAATGTTGATAACCCTGTCTGTCTCATAACATATTATCAGTTTCTCCAGTAAAAAACTTTCAATGTCAAAATTGAGTTTTAAACATCAAATAGGTTTTAGATATTTCAGATTACAACCAGGTCCAGAAATCTCTGTTATTAATAAGGAACTATGCTGTCTAGTTATATTAAAACTACTGCAAATAGGGCAGGGCTTTGTTTCTACAGTTTTAAACTTTAACTATCACACAAAATTAATTCTAAACATGCCCAGACATGAAACAAATAAACCTATGAGAAAAAGCACGGTTATTTAACATGTTTCCTTTTCAACACCTATTTTAACCAGGGAACTTCACAGGAACCATGCAGAACCCAGATTTACCACTAGAGGGGTAAATGGAATTGGAAATTTGTTTTTCTCAGTTCAGAGGCATTTACTCTAGTTAATCAATAGTGTTTGTGATTATTTTACTTAGCATGCTAGCCTCTGTATTACAGCTCGTGAAAAAAATTTTGAAAAGAGAAAAACACCAAAGCACTAGACACACACACACACACACACACACACACACACACACAGGAAATTAAATTTTAGAGGAGCTCACAGATGGAAGTAGAAAAAACTAGTATTCTACTGAGAACTTTATATATGAGGTAGCAATACCAACAAAACCATTATAAAATAGGTAATATTATACCAATTTTACAAAATAAAGTTATGGAAGATACATTATAACTGCAAGGTCTCATGGAGACAGGATTTGAATTCAGACCCACCTGATTCCAAAACCCTATTGTCTAGTGTTCCACAACAAAAGCTCAAGCAATACAAATCAATCTTTCGCATGATCTCATGCTACACGGTACATTTGTTACGTTTGCTATCACTTTTGTTTGCTCATTTTGTACAGAAGGTATGTCTTTTATGCTTGTATTCTTGCTTCTAGATTTGTACTCTACAAATTCATTTTACTGTTCCTTATATTTCTGCTTCTGTGTGTTACCAGCACACACATTGTTCTTTACTGATGTCCTTTACTATGTGTTTGTACACTTACTGCTTGATTAACAAATCTGCTCATTTCTTTAATGTACCAGATTCTCTTACACAAGACATTTAAATAGCAAACACACTTATAATTGTCCTCATCATAAAATGTATTAATAAATTTAATACAAAACTTTCAATTTCATGAGTTTGAGTTACTTTATCATTGTAACAGTTATTTCTGCTGTAGATTTCTTCTACAGAGATTTTCAAACATATGAAATTGAGAAGAGTATAGTCCCAAACTATCATCTTCTAGTCTAAGTAATTATTAGCCTATGATTATGTCAATTCCTCTATATTTTACCATACTCAGGAATAAATTACTTTCAGACATATATCATTTCATATAGACATGCTTTATTGTGTCTTTAATTTTATTAATGCTCTTATGTCTTAGAGAAAGTGCTATCATTTTCTGAATTTCCACCATTCCATCTTATCGAGTATGCCCTCCAAAATAATCAAAGTGTGCTGAAAGATTTTTTTCCTGGATTTATTTTTTAGTCCATTGCCCAGGTCAGAATTTGATCTTTATTCCATCTCTAAATGAGTTAGCTATACTTCTGAACAACTGAACACTTTATGGACTGTCTGCTACAGTCTGTGATGAAAGAGCATGGTGGAATTGAAGATATTTCTATCCAGAGAAGCTGTGGTCACTTCAAGGACACAATCTGGAGGTTTCTGGTTGTGCCTGCTGCATAAACCCATTCTTATTTGTTCCCAGGTTCTAAAGGGAAATCTCCTTCAAAACTGTCTTTTGGACTTTAGCTGGAAATGGCCCAAATGACAGCTCATTCTAGATTTGAAAGCCAAAT